GTCAGCACATGGCTTGAAAGCGGGATGATTTTCTTCATATACAACTGGAAGGTAGGATAGAATCTACATGTAAACCAGGGTTTATTTTAACGTGCAGTGATAACCAATTTGTGCAGTGGTAAATCGTTATTGTGGAGTGATAAAATTCAAATTTCGTGCAATGATAAAACTAAAATAAAGAGACTTGCTATTGAAAAAGCAAATTTTAAGCATCTGCCAGTAAACGCATAAAGCTTATAAAAGAGCATTACAGTATTAAAAACGAAAACATAACAGCAACAGTGATCATAATCCAGTAGTTTGATGGCTGTGATCATGAAAATTTTCAAAAGGTGACACCAAAATTTTCAAAAGTTTTGAAAATGTGCAGTGATAAAAATTCCTTAAATTAGACTCTGATGTAAACATTCGATGATTTCATCCCAGTTGCCAGGTTATGAACTGAGAGGTGGGATAAATCAGGCCCTAAGAGAAATGATGGCAACTATAAAGATGTATACGAGATACCAAATGATGATCTAAACGAACATAGGCGAAACTGAAAATTTTTGCGGATAAGAGAGCCAAATGAGTAAGATGAGGTTGATAATAATCTTATTTAAAAATGACTGCAAGCGTTTTAATGTTAAAAGTGCAGGTTTTAGAAAACTGTGTATCAATAGCATCTTCATGAACCAGAAATTGCAATAAACAAACGATTGAATAATTTTAACTGATAAAAACAGATTATTTTGCGACAATTTTGCCTATTTTGATTATTTTGCGGAGTTGTTCTTTCTTCAAATGGCGAATTGTTTATTGTCCGTCTACTTTGATGTACTTACTAAAACCAAATGTGGTCTGGATACCTTTGATCGGAAAAGGGATCAACCTTATTGGAATTCTCAGATTTGATTTGTGGTGATGGAGTTCCGATAATGGTAATGGAAATCCTTATTAGGTTCTACCTCATTTTTAGTTCGCCAGCACCACGAACTTGAATATTTTATTGTAAGTATAGTAAGCTGTACATTTGAATGCATTACACTCATTTTCATATAACACTGTCTTTAGGCAACCGAGCCCTAAGGTGCCAAAATAGTTAGGAACCAGAGTACTGATAACCTTCAACCTTTATTTATTATTAGGCACATTTAAACTTCTGACGTTTTTTGATCTGAGGAGTGTCAGACAAAAGAGCCAATATGTTATAAAATGTCTACTTTTTTCAAACCATTATCAACTTCTGTACCGCCAAAAAACTGTTCACATATTAACTGTTAACTTTTCTTAGACAAATAGAAAGAAGTGCCTCTTAAGACCTAACGAGTGTCTATTTCATGTTATCTTTTGTTGCCATTTTGTGTTCTTAAGATATAGCTCCATAATTTTGCATTTAAAAGACCTCATTCACCTTGACTTTGATTTCTGGGCGTTGGAACTATAATACTTTACACAACTGAATTCCACGCTCTTCAATGAACGTCGAGCCATTTTGAAGAACATCTGTCTAAGACTTCATATTACTTATACGCGAGATAACAGAGAAAAACCGGGCCTCGAAATTGCATATGCATAACTTTATCTCAATCAAGAAGCCTCATTAAAATATGAAAATAGCTATCTGCCCTTTAGCAAATACAACATTACCATATGGACTTGGTCTATTATTACGCATTTCATAGGTTTTCGGTAAGGGCTCTATTCTTTAGTAAGGTAAAATGACAGCCCTTTGAAATATGGTTGTCATATTTTATTGGATTTTGACAATTTAACGTGTATTATCAGTAGATAAAGCTGATTAAGATTAATGTTGGTGTTACAATTACTCGTTATTGTTAACGGATAGAGATATGCCATGGCAGCTGTAACTGGTAGACGCATTTGAGTAAAGTCACATAAAGCCATTGGTGAATAAAACGACCAGAGAGAGACCAAAGTTTTCCTTCCAACATAAGATGTTCAGCTCTCTTTGTTTTGAGCAAACCTTGAAGTCAGATGGTGGTTGAATAAACTCGTATCAATTTCAAGGAAGTTTGTCATTGGGCTCTTCAAATTTTCAATTTCAAGTTGAACTTAACATTTAAGGATATTAACTTTAGAGCAAACGAAAAGCAAAAGTTAGTAAATGATAATTGTATTAGCAAAAGCAACAGTGAAAGGTTAGAGACATTCATTGGTTGCTATGTGAGAAAACCTAACTGTAGTGTAGATACTCCATTTCCCAGTTTTGCGGTCACTAGGGCCGAGTCCCTTTGGTCTAGGACTTCAAACACGAGGAGCTAAGATGGCGATCTCCAACCAATAAAACCAAGTTTCAAGCCTACTTGAGACATTGAGATAACTTTAAATTGAAGGTGACAAAGGTGTTAAAAGACTCACAATCAACAATCCTTTCGTTACCTTTCTACCTTCATATCCTTTTACAATTTGTTATATACCTCCCTGACCTGTTTTTTTATACCTTGGGCAGAGTTGTGCAAAGTTTGAGCAGATGTCTTCTCGAATATCTTCCCTTTTCATTATCAGACTACCAAAAACAATTGTTTTGATTTTCCTGACACTATACTCAAGTTTTCTCTTTGTGATTGTGGAGTAAAGGAATCGAAAGCATCACTTTTCATTTCGTCGGATCTGTTTTGAGGTCTAGTGGTGAAGGTTTTAATGAAATTTTAGAAAAGGACCACACGGCGACTAAAAACACACAACGAAATGTCTTGCATTGTTCTTACTTCAAAATTTCCCTTTCCAGGAACACCTACAAAACTTTGCTTGATATACTCTGTTTCTTAATTTGATTTAAAAATATAGCTAAATTTTAAGTGTTAGATAGCTAATTTTTCTAATGGAAAATTTTAGACAAAAATATAACAGAAAACGGACAATTTCCCTTTCAATTGAACTCAAAATGAAAATTTATTGTCTTAAAGAATCATTTGCATCTAATTTATAAATTTTTCGTTATTTTAGAGGTCGGTTTCAAAAAAGACGATTTCTTACAAGAGGAAATGCGCGAGTTTTGCCGAGCTTCAATATTCCTAAAAAATTTCGCTTTTGAGCCTAAGTTATTCTCAAATTACTCTTGCCCGATAAGGTATCAATTCGCCTGAAAATCGAATAAAGAATTCAAGTATTTTTGATGTGTTGCTTGATCAGTCACTTAATGTACACAAATTAATTTGAGATAAAGTTTGAGCTTGGCATCATTTTTAATTTATTCTTAAATTTTAGCGATCTCGAGCCTAAAGTGCGCAGGGCTTTTCTAAAAATTGCATAATGTATATGTGGTAGTTTCACAAAGTATTAAACAATTCTACGCAAAGTTACGCAGTATTACCCAGTATTATTAAATGTTACTCTGTCGGTAATGCGCAATGATTCACAGTGTTACCTAGTGTTACACAGTGTCATACATGTTATTACACAATGCTGCACAGAGTTATTACTGTAACGCAGAATAACGCAGCGCTACGCAGTATTCCAAAGTGTTAAATGGTACTACGTAGTGTAACACTGTGTTACGTGGTGTTACCCAGTACGCAGAGCTACGCAGTCTGACAAAATGTTACTAACTGTTTAACAGTATTACACAGTATTACGCAGTGTTGTGAAATGCTACACCGTGTTACAGTATTAGAGTATTAGTCAATCATTCGATTGACAGCGTTATATATATTGAACAGGTGATCAGAAAATGTCCGTTTTCTCTTTAAGTAATTTTGAACAAACATAACCGCATTGCTCCTACCTAACCGCTTTGATATAGCACATATGCTGTGTTTGGACTAGATACATCACTTCGTACCGGTTTAAACGATGGATTTGCCTGTTAAGTTACTAGCGATTAATAAAATGTCCAGCGAAGATCTGTTGCTTAGGATCAAGATCCTCTCACACTGTGCACCATCCTAGTTCAAATCGTTTTTCAACCATGACAGAACAACGAAACTCAGTTTACTGGGAACAGAACCCTTTCTTTATTGAAAATGTACAGTAATTGGAGATAATTCATTGAATGAAAAAAATGTATGTTTAAAAGAAAGACCTCATAGATAGGCAGTCTTCAAGCATTCATACTCCTTCGAGAAGACTACTGTTCCAAAGATAAGAAATTATATAAGATATTTTTGAATAAGATTTGTTTTAGATATTAAAATACAAACAATCACAAAAGCAGATGAAATGATGACGTTGATTTTCCAATTAAAAGCCACTATTACATGCAACTAGATTAGAGCTAAAGTAGTGCGTTAATTCCACCAAGGTTTTAATATTGTTGTGTTATACTTTGATGGTTCTTTTATCATCTGTTTTATATGAAGATATCCTTGCATAGGCACATCTTTGTTGTTTTCTATAATGCTTTAAATATTGCTGTCATCTTTTTATATTTTCTAAAGCATGAAAGATGCTTATAATCTTACACTAATAACAGGAACAAAGCTTTACAGTTCTTTGATTATGGTGACAAAAAACTGAATATTCTCATAAAAGTAGCATCCCTCTGTATTATATGTTCATGTAAAAGTTAAATAATTCTTTGTGTAGATTCAGATTCAGGTTTAATTGACAAACATATCTAAATACGTACAATACAATTTAGAATTACCTGTCTTAGAATAAATAAGACATGATAACGACAACAGTACATTCACTAATTATATCAACTAACTGGAAAATGTAATAAGAAATTGCGTAATTGAAAATATCTTATAAGTAGGAAATTTCTAATAGATCACCTTATCAAGAGCAAGAGAGAGAGACAGAGAGAGAGAGAGAAAGAGAGTCTCCTCTCCCCCAATTGAAGCTTTAGCGCTGGTCCAAAATGGTTTATTCACACAACTTATTAGGAACTTAATGGAGGATTCATTCTTTGAAACCCTAAACCGAATAGAATGAAAATAATCAGTCAGATTTGGGTCAAAATACATAACAAAAGAGCCGACAAGTACGTAGACAAAGGTTATCTTTATTTTCTGGTTTAGTTTGGAATTGTCACATGGGTGACCTATTGACTGGCTTTGCATAAAAGTCGAAGCTCGAAATTTTAGGAATTGACTCCAGCTTTAAACTGCATGAAGCAGGGTTGAGCAGTTCACACAGAAAATAAATCGCTCGATGTGAAGCTAAATAAAGAGGTTGGACGGTCACCAAAGTCACAAGCCACTAGGATCAGTAAATCAATCTCCAATCAAAGTGATAAAAATCCTGTTGAAAGAAGGATCCTTGATGTTTACGCTCTCTTTTTATGGATAGTCATTTCAAGGATGGTATTATTTGAAGCAAACTAGGCAGGTTGGTAAGTAACATCTTTAATTCCGATATTCTTGCTATGTATGGTAGAAACGGGAAGAAACTGTTGAACGCCGTTGTCTGATCTACTCTCTTCTAATTACTTAAAAAATAACTCATGGAATTTTAAGCAATGACTTCAACAACGTATCTGGTTAATCTAAATCTTGGAAAATGGACTTAAGATTCTTGTACACTTGAATCAAAGAAATCTAATCTTATGTCTTGGCTTTAAATTTGTTACTGATGACAAAGATGGACGCATTATCCACTGTGGTATTTTTTCATATCTGATATTCGGGTCAGTGTGTAGTCATTTTTGGCTCAAACTTTACATGTTCAGAGTAATCAACGACTTAAGGCGGGAGATCTGATTTGTGAAACGTAATTAGAAAATATTAGTCGACGAGTTTAAGGAATATATATCTTTATCTCAATCTTGTCCTGATGCATAGCTTCGGGGAGGCTTTTTCTTACAGTTATTGATAACGATCGTCCTTTAGCATAAAGTTTTGATATGCTCTATCTATTCTTCTTTGAAGTTGTGTACGAATCAATACGAATGCGCAATACGAATCTAAAAAAACTGCCTACTAGCACAATCACAGCTTTATGTATATTTCTGTCATCAAATACAATAGTTGTACGTTTTTTCACTTCTAGTCTTTCCAAAACAGAGTAACATAGGTTCAACATAATAGTTTTACAGAGTATTTAACTCAAAACCAGGCTGGCACTTGCTTAAAAGAACAGGCAGCTTTTGTGTATCGGTAACATCTGGATGATATTATAATAGAACAGAATAGAATAGAAAAATAGGATGATAAAAAAATAGTAGTTCTCTTTTTATATCTGGTTTCTGCCACAAAATTTAATGATAATAATATTTAATAGTTATACAGTTAAAAAAATACTTTTATGTATAAATTAATTTTTTCCTTATATATCATACATCAATACCTGCAAGAATAAAACTCGAAGCATGATAACAAGAAGCAACTAATGAGAAGTGTTTAAAAGTATAGCTTTGTGTTTTTGCAAGATGCCTCGAATATCAGAAGTAGCGCTGCAATGTGTATACTAATTAACATCGCTTTTCCATAGGGTTTAGCTGCTTAATGTGAACGATTTTGAATGTTTTGAGAAGATATCATCAAATTAAAAATCTAGCAAAAGTAAATTTGAAATTAATAGTTTATTTTCCTCACATTACTTTCAAATGGACTTTAATTTTTCGCTTTGGCATGTAAATATTCTCCTTACGATGTCAACTTAACGGGCCACACGACCTTTCTGTTCTCTTCATAATTCGTCGTCATGAATACTTTTTAAATTGAATTAAAGTCTCCTTTTGTCTTGGCATTTTATGTTGCAATCGGTAGCTTGTTTGAAATCTCAGCTGCATTATAGCTTGAAGTTATCAAGTCCGACGAAATTTTAATTAATGGTCAAGAGTTTGGTCGTAAATATCTACTATGTGTGTTTATTTAAATCTACAGATTTTGCTTTCTTTAGGTTTGTCAAAATGCTAGTTTTTCAAGGTACCAGTTCTTTCAAGTTCTTTAACGATTATTCAACCTACAAGAAGACCTTATGTTACGCCAAACGTATCTCGAATTCGTTTATATGTTATAAGTCAATGCATAAATTTGGTATTGGTAAATGCTCGATTATCAGGAATCCAGCAACTGCACAAAGTTTAGAGATATTTCTTGCAGCTTACTGGCGCCAAAACTTATCAAGCAGCTGGCGCCAAAACAAACACAGGTTACTTCAGACTAGGTTCAACGGCACAGTTTATCTTTTAATAATACAATGACACACTACCACCATGCCTGTTGCTATGAGGGGGGGGGGGGGTGTTGTGACACGACCTTTGAGAAAAATTGAAAAAATTTCTATTACAGAAACGAGGAGTTTTGCTCCATCTAGAGGTGTTTAGTCGGCAAATTACCAAACTTGTCGGCATATAAAGGATTCAGGATTGCTCACCCATTTTGTCGGCAAATGGGACTTTCAAACCCCCTTGGAACACTATAGCTCACGACCAGCCGGACTACAATGCTAAAAAAGATCAGCGCGTAATACAAAGTACAAGAACAAAACGTAAACATAAAGAAAACTTCCAACAACATTATCATATATAATTAAATCAAAACGCATCATTGCGATAATAGCTTAACAGTTGATCGATATAAGCATAAAAGTTAAGAGTCGCATTATGGCAACGTCCTGCTCAATGCACTTAAGTTTCACAATAAATTATGTATCTAAAACTGCACAAAAGGGAAAGTATTGGAGCGCAGAGAAATATTTCAAAGGAGTCGCTCTCTAAGTAGAATTGATATATGAGGAGAAAGCATCTTCGACATTATACAAGGCAGAAATATTCAAATGGAGAACATGGCTTAATGCATTCTTCGAAACGCCTTTTCAGTTTATTCGCAGCTACTTAGTTCCACAGTTTCTCTTAAAGGGTCAAGGTATAAGAAGGAATGCAGTTCCTTCGGAAATATCATTTAACACCCATTACGTTTCTTGCTGAGAAAACATGTTCAAACGTTTGACAGTAGAAACAGATTAATGAGATCAAATTCATTACTTGTAGTTACTTCTAAAAAGGAAAACAAAATGTTGACTAACCAATGTTTGATCAAGAAGTAACTTATGTGCTATCGAATACTCTGAAAGTGTACACAAAGAATCTTGATTTAACTTGTTTTAAGATAATAATGGCTTTGAAAAAAGCAAACATGTTGAGTCATACTAAAGCTTTCCGTTTACACTCTTCAAAGTATAAAACGTCTGAGATTGTTTGTTAACATATTCATATACTGGTTCAGAGCTTTTCCTTATAAACTGGAGTTAGTTAATGTTTGCAATATGAATAGCTTTGTTTGAACCAAGATTTACAAAGATTGTACACGCTTTTTTATATAAGAGCACTTGCCTCCAGCGCTTCAGCCTGGCGTTTCTTACTTCTTTGCATAAATCCAGTCGAACGTGTTTCTTACTTGGTTTCCTATTTTTGTAATGGAATTTCCTTTGTAGTGTCCGGACATAACATATTTGTAGTGTCCGGACATAAGACACATAATTCTTGATAAAGTAGCTAATGGTTTTTTGCTAATTCCTTATTTCTTTCACTTTTCAATTTTTTCCAGCATTTTAATTTATTCGAGTTATTTTGAATTTCACCCTGCCTTGATTCTTATGTTATTTTTTCGGCAAGTCCGTATCTATAAAGGCAAGAGTATGAGCAACATCTATTTCGCACTAGATCGCAACTGTCTAGCAAATGACAAGCATGCATTTTTATAGCATTTCAAAGTAAATTATTTTTGATCCTTTGAATCTTTGATGACCCATTTTGATAAACTAGTAATATACACTCATTTTTTTATAAGAAACTGGCTATAAGAAACGAGTACTGGACAGCCAGAAAAAATTAAGAAACTTTAGTACTCGAAGCAAAAAAATTAAGAAACTATAAAATCGTGATAAAACTGAGAACAACGAAATTTTGTAAAATCCAAGAACATGATTGCCCTGATGGCCTAGAAATTAAGACACAAGGAATAAAAATATACTTCCCACGTCTAAATACAGCGTCAGAGCGGAAGCGAATCTTTTGACGCGAAAAAAAGGTCACGAACATTTCATAACATCATTCATGGCATCATAATTAAGAAAATCTTAAGAAACAATGAGTATTGAAATTTCCAGAACATTAAGAAACTGGAGTACTCAACATCGATCTTTGTTTCTTATAAAAAATGAGTGTATTTGCAGTTCTATAAATCTAACTGCATAAGCAATGATATTACGGCAATTGCCTGGAGAACTTATTTCTTTTTTTAAGAACGTTAATGATTCAGCCTCTAGAGTTCTTTGTACGGAGGTATTAAAAAATAAGGCTTCAAATTCCCAAGTCAGGCCTATTCTGTCAAGTGGAAAGGGGTGTCCTTTGCCTGGGGGCACTGGTACAATTTTTTCTGCAGGAAAAATCTATCTTCGGAATAAAATTGTTCGCAGTGGATTCAATGTAGCTATCTAAGACTATTGAGAGATGTCTATCAAATAAACAAGTGAAAATCGTCTGAGTATCATATGTCACTCCCGTCTTCTAGTGAAAGAACATGCCAATCAAGATAATTTTTGACTTTAATGACGTGGGGTAGCACATTGCTTGCTTCTCTCTTTAGCATTCAGCGGATGCATTTTAATTGTGAAAAAGATTGGAAGTCTAGACACGACTTTCCCATGATTAGTATTCATGGTAAAAAAATGATGTTGTGGTTTATTGACCAGTGATGGAGAATCAAAACAAATTCCTTTAGGAGGTTTTCCGGGTGCTTTTCCGAAACCGAACGTTCTAAGCCTTGGCCCTGATGCAAAATGATTGCATGGATGTTTTTGACGGAGGGGAGTGTAAAGGAAATGGCACTGTTCCAGGTTAAATGAATCGCCAGTAAGGAAGGAATAAATAGGAATAAAATCCTCTGTCGGTAAGCTTTTTTTTCTATTTTCCAATCCGAGTAAAAAAGATCAAGGAGAGCCATTGATCGCATGACTTCATATCCGTATATTTCTGCAACACCTCAGATTGATTTTATAAGCCTTATCTTTTTCAGATTCGTCTTCAAGTTTTATCACAGCACATTCATTTTGTTCTGTTCTGTTCTGTTCTGTTCTGTTCTGTTCTGTTCTGTTCTGTTCTGTTCTGTTCTGTTCTGTTCTGTTCTGTTCTGTTCTGTTCTGTTCTGTTCTGTTCTGTTCTGTTCTGTTCTGTTCTGTTCTGTTCTGTTCTGTTCTGTTCTGTTCTGTTCTGTTCTGTTCTACTAATTTGTTCTACTGATTTTTTCTTCCCTATCCTTTTTGTCTGAGCCTCATAATGTTTCTTAGACGTTTCTTACTTTCTAAGGAATTTGAGCCTCGTGTTTCTTATATCCATGTTTCTTAAAATAAAAAGACGTGTTATCTCTTAATAGGGCACAACGTAGAACT